GGGGTGGGGTGGGGTGGCAGGCATCTCACTGTGCAGGGGAGTGGGGTGGCAGGCATCTCACTGTGCAGGGGAATGGGGTGGCAGGCATCTCACTGTGCAGGGGAGTGGGGTGGGGTGGCAGGCATCTCACTGTGCAGGGGGAGTGGGGTGGGGTGGCAGGCATCTCACTGTGCAGGGGGGTGGGATTGCAGGCATCTCCTTGTGCAGGGGAGTGGGTGGGGTGGCAGGCATCTATCTCACTGGGCGTATTTTGCATTTTCCTGATGATCACAGAACATCTTTTCATGTTGCTCATTTGCCACTTGCTCAACTTCTTAGAAAAAGATCCCTCTGTCTTTGCTTATTTTTAGATCGGGTTATGCTCTTTTATTAATGAGTTGTGAGAGGATATTTCTCCCCTCTTTGGTGGGGCTGAACAAACCCAGAACCTCAAAAAACTTTTCCTTTCTTTTCTCTCCTTTCTTTTCTCTCCTTTCTTTTCTTTATTTTTTCCCCTTTGTTTGTTTGTTTTTGTTTTTTTTTTAACAGGGTTTGTCTGTATAGCCTTGGCTGTCCTGGAACTCACTCTGTAGACCAGGCTGGCCTTAAGCTCAGAGTTCTGCCTGCCTCTGCCTTCTGAGGACTAGGATTAAAGGCGTGCACCACCGCCGCCCAGTACAAGCTTTTTCTTAAGTTTATATTGAACTAATTTGTTTATTTCCTTCCTTCATCGTGGTGCATGAATGGAGGTCAGGGGGGAACTTGTGAGAGCTGGTTTGTTCCTTCCACCACATGGATGCTAGGGGTAGAACTCATGTCACCAGGCTGGGAAAGGAGGTGCATTTATGTATGGAGCTGTCTTGTTGGCCCAGGAGATGTTTTTAAAATACCCCTTGTGATGGTTCATCTTCATCGTCAGCTTGCCTGGATTTGGAATTATCTAGGAGACACACCCTCAGCTGTTTCCAGAGAGGCTCACCTGAGGAGGGAAGACTCATTCTGGATGTAGGTGACACCACCCCATGGACTGGGGGCCCAGACTGAACAAAAAGCAGACAAGGAGGAAGCCATTTGAGCACTGGCATTTGCTTCTATCTGCTTCCTGATTGTGGATGCAACCTGGCCGGCTTTCTCATGCTCCTCACCCATCTTCCTGCCGTGATGGACTCTGTCTCCTCAAAGCATGAGCCCAAATAAACCCTCTCTGCTCAAATTGCTTTTGTCCAGCATTTTGTCACAGTAGTGAGAAAAAGTAACTAATGTGCATGCCCGAGCATGCACTTAAGATCCAAGCCCTTTTTCCTAACCACCCACTCCTACACAGTGCTCACTCCCCTCTGTGACTCCTGGAGAAAGAATGGAAGACTTTTGCTTTAAACTCATCAGCTTCTGGGCAGAGATCTAAAAGACAGCGGAGACCGAGAGAGAGACCCATACACCAATGTTCATATCAGCACCATTGGCAATAGCGCTTAAGACCATTAACGGCTGTGTGCATAAGCAAACAATGAACACACACAATGGAATAGTATTCAGCTTTAAAAAAAAAATGAAATTTGGGGTTGGAGAGATGGCTTAGTGGTCAAGAGTGCTTGTTTTTGCAGAGAACCCACATGGCAGTTCACAACCATCTGTAACTCAGTTCCAGGGGATCTGACACCCTCTTTGAACCCAGCTGGGACCAGGCATACATGTGGTGCACAGATATACATGAAGGTAAACACTCAAACACATAACAAATAAATCTTAAAAGTTTGTTTTTAAAAAATGAAATTTATGGGCTGTAGAGATAGCTCAGCCAGTCAAGTGTGTGCCTTGCAGGCCAGTGACCTGAGTTCAAGTCCCAGAATTCATGTTAAAAATAAAAAAACTAGACGTGGCTTATACTTCTAATTGCAGTGTTGGTGCCCGGGGATTGTTGGGCAGCTTGCCCCCCCCCACTCCCCGCCACACACCACCACCACCATCACCACCACCACCGCTGCCACCGCCGCCGCCGCCGCCGCCGCCGCCGCCGCCGCCGCCATCACCACCAGTGAAAATTCTGGTATTTGCTAACATGGATAACTAATCTTGAGGATTTAGCATTGAGTGAAATAAGCCAGAGACAAAAGATAAATATTACATGATTCCATTTACATGAGCTACTTAGTCAAATTCATAGAGTCAAGAATTAGCATGATGGCTGAGGCACCCGTGAGGAGAGATGGAGAAATGAGGGGTCAGGGTTTAACGGATACAGACTTGCAAATGGGGCAGTTGCTGAGCAAATGCAGGAAGTTGTGGAGCTAGAGGATGCTGATGGCTAGGCCTCTCTCAGTGAACGCACTCGACAGCCCATGACTGTACACTCACAAAGTGAATTTTACATTGTGTGTATTTTATCACAGAAAAAGTGCCAATTACTCAAATGGGAGAAAGTTGGAAATAAAAGAGCAAGGAGGAAGTACTAAGGATGAAGCCCAGTTGACAGTCTGCCTAGCATTCACAAGGCCCTGGGTTCAATCCCCAGCACCGCATAAACTGGTTGTGAGGGTGCACACTGTAATCCCAGCGCTTTGGGAAATGGAGACAGGAGGATCAAGTTCAAGGCCGGCAGGACTACACAGTAAGCCCAAGGCCAGTCTGGGCTGCATTAGCCCAAACAAAAGGAAAGTATCAAAACTCACCCACGGACTCATCAAAAAGCTGTGTCCTCTGTGGCTGGCTCCAGGGCCAGCCGTGAGTTTCCACAAAGTATATGTCGGAAACCAAGCGCAGAGCTGGCAGCCAAACCTCACCAGGATGTGTGTAGGAACAGGTAGAAAAGGACAAGAGCTGGAAAGTGACATCCAGAGTAGGGAGCCTTAAGGGAGATTCCCTCTGAGTTTAGTGGCCATGGTGATTAGCAGGAAGAGATCGGGCTTCGGAGTCAGTTTGACTCCATGTAACACTGGGCAAGTTATCTTCTCACTCTGGACCTCGGCATCTCCATCTGTAAAATAGAAGAGACCAGGTGCCATGAATGTGCCAAGGGATGCTCAGAACCAGAGAAGCAGGCATAGAGTCCAGGGCCCTGGAAGACCATGCCCATGCTACGCCCCATCCCTGCTGTCTGTATGATGCTTGATCTCTCCGGTCCTCAGTTTCCCCATTTTCAAGGAAAAGGTGCTTATGTCTGTCCCTGTTGCATACTGTGAAGGTATCAGGTTGTTGACAAAGCATTATGTAAATGGAACAGCCTCATAATGGAGATAAAAAAATAAATAAATACTTGACATTATAATGAACCGTTAACACAGGGTACTGTGATTAATTAAAAATGATCCCGCATATTATGCAGCCATTAAAACAGATAATTATGAGGCAAGCAACACCATTTGTGGCAGGTAAGAATGCTTCCAAACCTGTACAGGGATCAGACCTAAGTAAAATTGGGTGTCACAGAGACAAAGCCTAGAAAAGACAACAACAATAGAAAAGTGATTATTGAGGAGCAGCATGGAATGGCTTAGAGGTAATTTAAACACATTCTTTAAGGCCATCAATATTCAGTATTAATAAGAATATGCTTTTTAGAGCTGGGTGTGGTGGTGCACGCCTTTTATCCCATCACTTGGGAGGCAGAGATAGATGGATCTTCATGAGTTTCCAGCTGGCCTGGTCTACAAAGAGAGTTCCAGGACAGCCAGGGCTACACAGAGAAACTCGGCCTTGAAAAACAAAAAAGAATATTCTTTAAAAAAAAAATTTGTTGTGGTGTGGAATTGTGTGCAGACTGCGTGCATTTGAATTCTGGCTTAGTTGGAGGGCTAAGGAGAGTCACCACAGGAAGGCGCAGGGCTAGCCCTGCAGATCCCGACGCTGCTGCCAAGGCTGGCCCTGCTGGCTCTTCTCTGTTCCGTCTCCCACTCAGGTGTCAGCACTTGATGCCAAGGCTCCTCCTGGTATCACCGTAGCAGAAGCAGGGTGGCTCCCAATCTGACACAGATTGATACATCTCTATTTTATTGATCACACATCAACAGAGCGTAGGACATGTAACTGCTTTCTGTTGAATTTTGTATGGGTATGTGTGTAGGTGATATGTGCGTGTAGATGTGTGTATGCCACAGCACGTGTGTGGGTATCGGAGGACAGCCTTAGGGGTTGGTCCTCACCTTCTACTTTGCTGGAGACTGGCTCTCTTCACGGCTGCTTGCACCAGGCTAGCTGGCCCCGGAGCTTCAGGAGACGCCCTTGTCTCCACCTCCCATCTCCTGGTAGTGGTGCTGGGATTACAGGGGCATGCCACTGCTGGGTCTGGCTTTTATGTGGGTTCTGGGGGATCCACCCTCAGGTCAGCAGGCTTGCACAGCACTCACCTTACCTATTGAGCTATCCTCAGCCCTGGGTATATTTATGTCAGTGAAAGTCTTTTCTTCCAGCTCAATCCCCAGAGCAGCTGCTGCTCACCTTCTGAGCTGCAGTTCCTGAAGTTCCGATCCCTAAGTAAATGCCACCATTTCTTTATTTTACATCTTAAATCTATACACACACTTTCTGCTACATTGGAGAACTTTGCTCACTCATACCCTCTTCTAGCTCATTTCCCTGATGTAGTCACATTGCTCTCTCAGCTACAGCTATCACTTTTAGAAACATGCTCACACATCTGGTCCATCCACTAGCTCCTTCCTCGAAGGCTCACTAGAGCCACATTAGAATAGGCAGCAACTGCCTCAGCCTCCCCGCTCTCCCCGCTTCCTTCTCCTCAGGTTTCTGTGTTACACAGTCAACAACAAATATCCATCTATGTCCCTGTAGAATTGAAAGTAGACGGGAAAGGAATTGCACCCATGTTAGTGATGCGCACACCCCCTCTCCCATCAACATTCCATAAACACTGTAGTCTAAGGACAGCATTGCATTAGATGCTGTGTGTGATCAAGGGAAAGTCTAATGTACAGGATGGGCACAGGTTACATGCAGCTACGATGCCATTTGACGTACGAGACTTGAGCCTTCGTGTATCTGCCCAGCCGCACTGTCTACTTTCCCATCGTCTTGACTGAAAGCACTCTCATTTTGTTTTATAACTCCAACAACGTCTTTCAGGCTTTGCTTTTTACTGTGTGGATGAGGGGTGTGGTGGTGGGGCAGCGCACATGTGGAGGTCAGGGGACAACTTGCAGGAGTTGGTTCTCTCCTTCCACAGCGGGTTCCAGGGATCGAACTCAGGTTGCCAGTCTTGCATAGCAAGGACCTTTTCCCACGGAGCTATCTCTCCGGTCTTCCCTGCTTGTATTATAGGTTGTTGACTCAATAATGAGACCACGAGCATCGTTCTATCTCATTTATACTTAATTTTATTTTAAAATTATTTACTATTATTCTGTGTGCACAATGAGTATGTATGGGCATGCATGCCAGAGCCTGCCCGTGGAGGTCAGAGGACAGCTTTAAGGGGTCAGTTTTCTCTTTCCACCTTTAGAAGGTTTCCAGGCTTACCTGCAAGCACCTCTATCCGCTGAGCCACCTGGATGGCTACTAACGTTTGCTTTCTTGTGATACTGTAGTGGTATTCACTCTGCCCATGACCTTGGGCTGTATGCCCAAAGGAGGCGGTGCTTCTTGCTGTCGTTAAGTGAAGTCACCCTTTTAAAGGAAAGGGAGAGGAGGCCCCTTCTTCCTGGTTCCTGGTTCTTGGCACGAGTGGACTGCCAGGTGGATTCACTGTGGTCAGAACAGGGGACAACTTCAGCTGTACTCGGTTCTGTATCCGTGAGTGTATTTCCTCAAATCATATCCTAATAAATTCCCTAATACTCCTTAAGCAGACTCCTGTGATTTCTCGCTTTATGATACTTTTTTGATGTGGAATTTGAAACATTTATTATTTATTTAAAGTTTTTTTGAGACCCAGTTTCTTATAGCCTATGTTGGCTTTGAATGCAATATGTAGCCAAAGATGACCTTGAACTCCTAATCCTTTACATCCCCAATACAGGGCTACAGCCCTATGCCACCATGTCTAGACACTTTTCTTTTTTCTTTCATTTATATTTTCACTATTTGACTTCATCGTATTTTCAATTTCCCCTAACTTTCCATCCCAGTTGAAATTCTATTGATTTTTGCCTCCCCGCTGAGCCCCGGGTTCTATAACTTTCCATTCTTCAATATAGACGGCCTTCATTCGGGGACCTCCTGCGGTGATGTGAATGAGCGACGCCTCCCATAGGCGCAGACATT